GAGAGTACAATGTACCTGTATGGTGGTTGGTGAGTGTACATTGTACCTGCATGGTGATTGATGAGAGTTCAATGTACCTGTATGGTGGTTGATGAGAGTACAATGTACCTGTATGGTGATTGATGAGAGTACAATGTACCTGTATGGTGGTTGATGAGAGTACAATGTACCTGTACCTGGTATGAGTGTATTGTATTGAGTTCAATGTACCTGTATGGTGATTGATGAGAGTACATTGTACCTGTATGGTGATTGATGAGAGTTCAATGTACCTGTATGGTGGTTGGAGAGTGTACATTGTACCTGCATGGTGATTGATGAGAGTTCAATGTACCTGTATGGTGGTTGGTGAGTGTACATTGTACCTGTATGGTGATTGATGAGAGTTCAATGTACCTGTATGGTGATTGATGAGTGTATGTATGGTGATTGATGAGTACAATGTACCTGTATGGTGGTTGATGAGAGTACATTGTACCTGTATGGTGATTGATGAGAGTTGAATGTACCTGTATGGTGGTTGATGAGAGTACAATGTACCTGTACCTGCATGTACCTCTCTGGTGATTGATGAGAGTACAATGTACCTGTATGGTGGTTGGTGAGTGTACATTGTACCTGCATGGTGATTGATGAGTGTTCAATGTACCTGTATGGTGATTGATGAGAGTACAATGTACCTGTATGGTGATTGATGAGAGTGTACATTGTACCTGTATGGTGATTGATGAGAGTACAATGTACCTGTATGGTGGTTGATGAGAGTACAATGTACCTGTATGGTGATTGATGAGAGTACAATGTACCTGTATGGTGATTGATGAGAGTACAATGTACCTGTATGGTGATTGATGAGAGTACAATGTACCTGTATGGTGTGTTGATGAGAGTACAATGTACCTGTATGGTGATTGATGAGAGTACAATGTACCTGTATGGTTGTTGATGAGAGTACAATGTACCTGTATGGTGATTGATACCTGTATGGTGATTGATGAGTGTACATTGTAACTGTATGGTGATTGATGAGTGTACATTGTACCTGTATGGTGATTGATGAGTGTACATTGTACCTGTATGGTGATTGATGAGAGTACAATGTACCTGTATGGTGATTGATGAGAGTACAATGTACCTGTATGGTGGTTGATGAGAGTACAATGTACCTGTATGGTGATTGATGAGAGTACAATGTACCTGTATGGTGGTTGATGAGAGTACAATGTACCTGTATGGTGATTGATGAGAGTACAATGTACCTGTATGGTGATTGATGAGTGTACAATGTACCTGTATGGTGATTGATGAGTGTACAATGTACCTGTATGGTGGTTGATGAGAGTACAATGTACCTGTATGGTGATTGATGAGTGAACATTGTACCTGTATGGTGATTGATGAGTGTACATTGTACCTGTATGGTGATTGATGAGTGAACATTGTAACTGTATGGTGATTGATGAGTGTACAATGTATCTGCATGGTGATTGATAATGGGATGCTGGATGCTATTTTGGAATCTTAACTAGACGTGAGCATCCATCAGAATGACGCTGATGATTTATAGTTTTCGAATTGGTGCACAGGCTCGTTGATTGTGGGAAGATGAATCTACGTGTTGATGATAGTGACTGGCATGCTCATGCTCCTTGTATGAAGGTAGTAATGAGAATGGTATCATATCAACATGCTGTCGTCGACCAGGACCTGATGGTTTGATCAGTATTGTGGTGAATGACAGTGAACATCCACACTCCGATCGATGCATCATCTACTTTAGTGACATATGTGTGACTTCTGTTGGTAGCTACCAGAGGTGTAAATATGCCATCACCAGCTCCCCCGGACACGCCGTCTATATATCCGTGAAAGCCAGTGACATTGGCGGTAGCATCCACTGTGTGAAGAGAGTGATCTCAGTCTATGATGGTAATATGTGATTTAGAGGACCCTCAGTTTCAAGCTGAAACTCAAATTAATTTGAAATGACATGACCAGGAGACATCTTTATGCATTTATTTAATGAAGTTATAATTTTAGACACAATCTATTTAATAATTTCACAAATCTAAGGGACTTCCTATGACAATTACAATTTACTTTGGACCTATGCTATCTTTGGCCAATGCAATCTCTTTGTGAAAGAATGAATATTCATTAAACATGTGCCTCTTAATCCGCAACAAATGTTTTGCTAATGGGATATGCCACAATGAAGTAATGTTCAAAATGTTTTTTCTTCAGTTACATTAACTGTAATTAAAATATATTAAAATATACTAATCGTAAATATTCGTGAACTGTTATCTTTCACAAATCTACATGTGACACATGGCATTATGACACGTTCTCATTTTACAAACTAAAATATATATTAGAATAAATGATACTCAGTGACTCCACCATCAGTGAGTTATCTGTGACACATGCTTTTATGTTATGTGCCCCTTTCAACGATATGTCGTTTGTTACAATACATTAGTAATATCGTCACCAATCCAGCCACCATAAATCTAACAACTGAACGATAACCTGTCCATTCAGGTCTTGACGAGACGATTGAAAATCGTATTGGAGGATTTTGTACCAACAAGACACCATCATACCAAAGTCTGTCAAGCCAGATGCTGATTGTCTTTGAAGCTGATTTCAATACAAACAACAAGGGCTTTCTTCTGGAATACTGGGGAGGTAATTATTAACAGCGTGGTGGTTGTATTGCATAAGAGTTTATACAGAAAAACACACAGCATTCCACAAGACATTATACACGAAAGGCAGCTATTAACTCAGCCATTGGACCGCCTCCGTGGTGTAGTGGTTAGAGCGTCCGCCAGGAGAGCGGAGGGTCGCGGGTTCGATCCCCGACCACGTCATACCAAAAGACGTTAATATATGGTACTTGTTGGTCCCTGCCTGGCGCTCGGCATTAATGGGTACAACAAGGACTGGTCGGCTCGGAGTCAGTATAATGTGTCTGAGTGGAGTATTCATGCTTCACTGCGGCATGGTATCTCAGTGGGCTAGCATTATATAACCAGCTTCAGTCTGGGCTAGTATGAGCAACCGCACATACACATACACACGCATGCACGTCGTCATATGAGCGAAATATTCTCAAGCACGACGTTAAACCCACTTTCACCTCACCTCACCTCAACTAACTAAGCCATTGTACATGACAACCAAACTGTTCCACAAGGCATTGAACGTGACAACAGACTACCCGACGAGGCAGTGTAGAACACACAACCCCAGAAGGCACTACATGTCAGCACGCTGCCCGACGAGACATAGCTGCTGACAACAAACTATTCAACAGTGCATTGTACAAGGCAGCAAACTGCTCGACATGACATATTAGAGGACACTGAACTACTCGACAAGACATTGCAAAAGACATCACACTGTTGGACAACCATTGCACATGACAGTTAACTGCTCGACATGACATACTAGAGGACACTGAACTACTCGACAAGACATTGCAAAAAACATCACACTGTTAGACAACCATTGCACATGACAGTTAACTGCTCGACATGACATACTAGAGGACAACGAACTACCCGACAAGACTTTGTACAGGACAACGACCTTTTCGACAAGACATACCAGAGGACACCAAACTGCTGTTCAAGTCATAGTACAGGACACCAAACTGCTCTTCAAGTCACCGTAGAGGACACCAAACTGCTCGATAAGTCATAAAAGAGGACAGCAAACCGCTCGACAAGACATTGCAGGATCCAACACACTGCTCGACAAGACATATTATAAGACAGCAAACCGCTCAACAAAACTTTGTAGAGGACAACAAACAAACAAGGAATTTTACATAAATACAAACTGCTCCAAAAAAGAACAAAGAACTTTCTGACAAGATATTGTACATGACAGCACACTATCCGGAAAGGTATTGTACACGACAACTATACTCGACAGATATGGATCGGGAATACTCGTCAAACTTTTGACAAATGTTCTCTGCAAGTCATTTTACAGGACAGCAAACTGAACTTCACGAAACATTTTACAGGGCGAGAAAATGCTATAGTATCCCGAGAACGATGCCGATATCCTTTTTGCAGTTTAAGAACACATGTGCTCTGTTGTTGTATTAAATACTTTCTTGAACTAACGAAAGTGCACAAAGACATACTTACGGAAAGAGCCTATGCTGTGGTTAAATACTATGATAATTTTGGATATCACATCTAAGCAGATACTGTACGCACTATAGTGTTTTCACACCTTTGGATATGTATATATTGCTGTGTGTGCTTCTCTAAAATTGATGGCTCATCTGTCTTGGAACTTGTCATTGTCACAGACGTCAACTGAGTCATAATTTGTGTGACGATATCGTTACCCGCATATCTAATACTAACATGACACTGACAATGTTGTATTCTTGCATTCTAGGTCAGGTTAACATGGCATTAGAAGCATACGGGTATGAGAAATCATTCGTTTTTCCTCCCGGAAAGGCAATTACTTGAGGTACATCTAACATTAACCCAAATTACCAATTGTACATTTCTTTTAGTTTGCCAATAAAGTAAAATTGATGCATTGTAGTAGATATATAAAATAAATTTAGACAAACACTGAGCAACTTTATGTTCTGTATCGATCCAGGATTATCAATCCAGGATGTATTGTTTATAGAGTGAGTGAGTTAATACACATGAGGAGGACATTTCAAAATGTGATGCATCAGTGACAAGAATTATGTTTGATGCAGTTCCATATTTTGACTTGAACCATTCGTTACCACACATTCAGTCATTGCATCTCATAGTGCATCCTCGATACCTCCAGGGTATACGTTCCGATAAGCTCCACTATATTACATATATTATAGTGGAGGCTTATCGGAACGTATACCCTGGAGTTATCGAGGATGCTCATAATGCCAGTCACTGGGTTGTCTGGCCCACACTCCATTATTTATGGACCGCAGTAATAGTTTTGAGTATGGCGTTAGAGAGATTTGTCATGGAAGTGGACAAGGTTTTGTCGTTTTTCATCTTTACCACACTGATCAATACTACAGCTAGCACATTGTAGACCATAATCGAGTCTACCACTTGGTCTGATGTAATGGTTGGTTGGTTTGTTCTTTAACGCCGCGCTCAGCAATATTCCAGATATATGGCAGCTTTTCGATTTGTAAATAATCGAGTCTGGACCAGACATTCCAGTGATCAACAGCACGAGCATCGATCTACGCAATTGGGATACGATAGTCTGATGTAATGGTTGGTTGGTTTGTCGTTTAACTCCGCTCTCAGCAATATTCCAGCCATATGGCAGCTTTTCGATTTGTAAATAATCGATTCTGGACTAGACAATCCAGTGATCAACAGCATGAGCATCGATCTACGCAATTGGATACGATGACATGTGTCCACCAAGTAAGCTAGCCTGACCTCCCAAACCTTTTAGCCGCCTTTTACGATACGCATGAGTTACTGAAGTCCAATTCTAACCCGGATCTTCACGGATGTCTGACATCATGGGTAACCAAGTTGACACAGACACTACTAAATACTCCATCCTAACCAGCCAGTACCGTGCCTCTTAATTCTTTCTGAGAGTGCGAGCCCGGAATTCCGGAATGAGCACAAGTGTTAGTCATTGCGATGGACGGGTCTGTCTTTCTTCCGTACCTTGAAATGACGAACTGGTCTTCCTCCAAATGGACGTCAACGGGAATGTTTCTAAATACTTTACTAACTAATGTGATTAATTAAACAGTAATTTGCTTCATTCTTTTCTCTTTGAAAAATAGATATAACACGATGTGATATTTTTCAGTGGCTACAACACTTGGTGGAACACCACATCTTCCCGGCCAGGACACATAGTCGTGTGGTTTACCGAGGTGGATGTAAAGTGCCCAGAGGATAGCATTACTTTACATGATGGTAAAAATAGCACCAAAATTTGAAAATCCAATGATAGTAAAGGTATCAAATTTTAACATTTTTTTTATCACTTTATTACTTTTTGATCTGAGTACAGCATACCATGCACATTTAACAAGTCAGCATTTTTGTTGCTTTACATAGGAATCAAAGTACAAAGTCATTATCTATGTAAATAGATTGTGCAAGACGACCAAAATGTAACAAAAGTGTCGTATTTGCAGTGAGAGTATGCATTAAATTTGTGTAAGAGGTTATTATAATTCAATTTTGGTTTCAGACTAGCGAGAGAAGGTACAATGTTTGCTAATGTTCTAGAATATATGTACTCTTTAGTTAATATGAAAATAAAATTCAGTACATCATTTCTTCTCTCTTTGAATCCGAGAATAATGGTTTCTGCGTTTAATTTCAAATGTGTGTCTGTTTCATTTTCAATCCATTCTAGTAGATCTTGCCACAGCTTTTTTGACATGTTTGCATTCATATAATAAATGAATGATAGATTCTATTTCAACATCGCAAAATGTACATTGTGGTGATTCTATTAGTTTGTATTTATATAAATCTTTATTGGTTGTAAGGATCCTATGGAGAATACGGTATTGAAACCATCTGTGCCTAGCACTATATGATGCTCGAAATGGTATAAAATTATGTGTCTTCCATAGATTAAGAGTGATATTTATGTTCAATTCTTTATACCACGTGCACTTACTTTGATAAGGTATCAAATTTTGATAATTAACATTGAAGTATTCGCTGGTGTGTAAACAGACATTGAACCGAGAAATGTGTCCGAATCTTCATCTATGCTTCTGTATGTATTTATGTTTCAGGAGGGGTAGGTCAGGGTTATCGTTCATGGAGATTCTGCGGGAAGGATGACCGCTCATTTATGACCACCACAGAGCAACTTTTCATCAATTTTCAAACACAAACAAACCTAGGAAAAGGTTTCAGATTCACTTATCAGAGGTTGTACTACATATGTACGTATTTCCTGTCTTACTGCGATGGTATCCTAAGTACTCATTTGAAATCATATAACTACGACATATCAAAATGGTTTCGTGTGAGGTTTTCAGGATTTCCTTCCTCGCTAATCAAATTAAATGTCCCAGAGGATTGAGTCAGGAAAGTCCAGAGTACAGTATTAGGCGAATTGACTCGTGAAGGTCCGGGTGAGAATGAGCCTCGGGTAGTCAAGCTCGCTGCCTTGGCTGACACATGTCATCGGTTCCCAATTGCGCAGATTGATGCTCATGCTGCTGATCACTGGATTGTCTGGTCCAGACTCGATTATTTACAGACCGCCGCCATATAGCTGGAATATTGCTGAGTGCGGTGCAAAACTAAAATCACTATTAGGCGAATCCACTGTGATATAATGTTCAATAAGGAACGTAAGAAAATGAAGGAAATTGTCACTAAGCTCAATGAGACGAAGCAGTTGGTTTATACATTCATGTCCAGCCGTTATTCGACATATTGATGTATCCCTCAGAAAGGCCAGAATCTTTTGAACATGGGTTCGAATCTCAGATTTACCCTGATCAAACTCCTTGGTGTATGATCACTTGTGCTCAATGATTTCACCAAAGTGGTAAATGTTTAATATTTTGCTGACAACTAAGCTTGCCAAGCAACGTTTCAACACCCAAGACCTATATATTTTATAGTAGCCTTTATGATAGGCATTCAGAGGAAAACAATGTGGGACAACACCCCCTTTCTCCATGACGCTTACTTATTTTAACTATGTCATCATTGTTCAGTAGTTCATTTTATTAAATATCTTCCATCACTATTTTGCCTTTTATTGCTGATAGAATCGCTTTCGGTTGATTTTGAATACGCAATATTTATCTGAGTTTTCTGAAGCATACTTCCTGGTTTCTTCCCACATTGCCTCAGTTAATCAGGATGAGTACTTTCCGTTGTCACATTTCAAAGAATTTCTAGATTACGATCAATTCTTTCTTAAAATCAGGTAATTCCGGATGTGAAATCGATTGGATCTGCAGTAAAATCCTTAACAATTTTGTTTTCCCAGATTGTGGCGCCAGTGTGTCTCAGCTAACAGCCGATAATACCACTGCCACTATCTACTCGCCTGCCTATTCATACCAGTACTTTGAGTACGTTTAAAACAATTTCCTTTAACACGTGTGGAAATAGATTAGTTTTGTATACATTCTAACGGATAAAGGTACATATAAATGTGCTCAATATATAGTTCAATGAAAATAGATATGTTTTACTCAAATGGTGTACCTTTCTATACATTCATGAAAAACCCCTCGATTCGCAATTTGCACGTGGCTTTTGGATGTGATCAGCATATGATAATTGCGGAACTATCGGATGTCCACACAAATACTTTTGTTTAACCGCAATAACACTTTCGAAAATCCGACGGATTATGGCAAATCAATGACAAAGCGCAGTGTGTTTGCTGCAGAAAGGCTCAAAGCCAGGTAGAAAGATATTGCACATTGAAATACATTTATATCTGAAGATGTTATCCACAGAAAGGCAATACTAATTGTCAATCCTAATTGCTATGGGCGGGCCGTCCACGCGTGACGTCACGGAACAAGACAACCGTATTCAGTTGGTGCATCTACAGAGTCAATACGTTAACAGCTCCGTCAGTTCCTCTGTTGCGACCAATTAGTAACATGACCTAAGGCAACCGGATGAAGGCAACATTGCCCGTTGTTCTTATCATGTTCCAGTAAGCTGAACTGCAGGTGGCTACTCAATGCATCATCGTCCGAGGACCGCGTCAAGCTGATCATCAACGTTGTAAACATCAGCAAATCGAAGAACTGTGTTCAGGACTACATCGCTGTATACGACGGTGAGAGTCAGTCAGTCAGTCAGTTTTGGTTAAGCGTATATTTTGTATATATTCCATGTATGTCACTGCGGCAGCCTAATTTGGAATTACTGTCCGAAGTGTTCGGGGTGGTTTGGGTACGGTATATTAGGGCGACTCTGAGGTTTCTTAAACACATGCATGCCTCAGGTTCTGCACAGTACATTTCGGTGACCAAATACGGACTTCTTAGGAAGTTATATGTTGTATAAACTCCTCAGACGCATGCGATTGTATTCGTTGACTTAAAAAGTATACTACATGCTGATTCATGGGTGTTATGGCTGTATTTGACTGAGATTTGATTATGCTTTACTTTCAGGGTCTTCCGCTAAATCTAATCGTGTGTTAAACGTCTGTGGGGCAAACATCACCAGGACAGTGAGGAGCACGGGGAACACGCTGTATGTCGAATTCGTCTCTGATGAATATTCCACGTCATATGGGTTCAACTTGGTCTACACAGCTGGTAGGTATATTGTAGACATGTACATGTTGCTGCTGCTGAATCTGTATGATTTAGCTGCGGCTGTACACAAAACGGATAACAGCAAATCCGACAACAAGTTATATTGATTTTAACAGCAAATCAAGTCTATAGTGTGATAACATGAAAGGTCTTCTCGAGTCCATGCACTGTGTCCAGTTGGTTCCTAGCGCTACCTACAGGAGTGGACATACCCGAGACAAAGTTGTAACGATGAAGGATACGTGCTGTGTTTGTGACCTTTGTGTGACCGACCTTCAAATATCAGATCATTATCTGATCACTTTCTTTCTGGATGTAGATACGTCCCCTAACCCCAGGAGCAGTGTCTGAACTTAAAGGCTATTTTAAAACTGCTTTCAGTGTTGACGTATCAAATAGCAATCATGTCCTCCCTCTGATCTAAATGAACTGTCAGAACTATTTTACTCGCGCGCCTCTGAAAACAGGCAAGTCACGGCCTGTGTCGGCCTGTGACCCCATGGACTATGACGTCAGATGTGTTAGAGACATCGTGCCTGGAGATCATCTGGCCTGGAAGTGCACAGGCAAATTACAGTGTTGCCAGGAATATGGTAACCATGGGGATACGGCTTGCCAAACAAGCATCCCTGAACACAAGAATCTAGGAATCAATGTCCGATCCTCAGTCATTCTATCAGCTTATGTTCCGTCTGAGGTTGAGCCAAAATTCATGATTCATGGTAGGATCTGGTAACATGTCACGTTTTGGTGGCCCCAAACTCCAGTGACAATGGCGAGTCACACGTTTTAGTGAGGCTGAAGTGCGCATGTTGATCAGGAGATCAAACCCCACATCTTGCGCCCTTGACCCTAGGCCCACATCTGTACTTTTAGACCATCTTAATGTTCTCTTCCTATTGATCACCAGAATCATCAACACAAGTCTTGAAATCTGCGCTTGTGAAACCTCTCTTGAAGAAACCAAACCTTGACTGCAATGAACTTGGTAATTAGCGATCAGTATCCAACCTCTCGTATGTTTCAAAACTGGTCCAAAATGTGAGGATTTCAGAACATCTCCAGCAACATGACTTGTAGCATCTCAGCTATACTGAGACTGTTATTGTTAAAGTCCTGACTGATCTATGACTTGATTTGAACAAGGGCAATTTTGGTAACACTGCTCTAATTAAGTTCGGCTTTAGATACGATTGATCATGACAGGCTCATTCATTGTCTTAGATGTGATTTTCCATTGATGGCACCGCTCTTTGTTGGATCAAGTCCTACCTAACCTCCCGCCATCGGACTGTGCTTATAGACGGACACCACTCTGCTCCAGTCCATCTCAAACATGGTGTACCACAGGGGGCGGTATGGGGCCGGTCCTCTTCACTTTCTATGTTAAGAAGCTTGGAAGTGTTATTGCCGAACACAACGTACATCGTCATCAATACAGATGATGCACAGCTGTACATGGTTTATCCTGCTGACCAGGAATAGTCATGTAGCGCACTCACAGACATGAGTCAATGCTGTGATGACGTTAAATCCTGGATGAGTGGGTGAGTTAAAATTTAAAGTCACTTTGGCAATATGTCAGCCATATCGTGACTATATCAAGCTATATATTAATAATAATTAAAGGTAAATTATAAAAACATGTGCACGAAGGACAGTAAGACGACTAGAATATCACAGATAGAAATTTAAGGCTATTAATTAAATCTAACACATTTTAACTATACATGACAATACAATATACAAATAGGCTATAGATTGCCAACAACTGAATGTAGATCACCATACTGGGGACTATGGGGACTTACATTACATTTGCTTCCTGCATGGGCCCTAGCTGGATTTACAACATCTCTTCAGCTGTTAGCAATTTAGACAAATCTAGCCATTCATTTATCTACACATATTCTACGATTAAAAAAGTGGAGAGTTTAAATTTCCTTTGAATGTTTTGGAACTGACGTACCCTCTCAGGAGGACAATAATTTTACAGTACTTTAACCCCTTGAGGATACAGCCACTAACAATCTGATACTAATTTAAACTTCCGATCATAAAATATTTTTCTATTTACAAATCATTTAACAAATTTATTTTTCTTTAAACCCTGGATGAACCACAACAAACCTAAGCTCTACAGCAACAAGAGAGTGCATTCTCCTTGGTCCAGAGAAGTGGAGGTCCAAGTATGGTGTCAGCTCAATGGAATTTGACAATTCAAGTATCTACTTTGCTGATCAAGTCAAAGACCTGGGCGTGTTCCTAGATTCAATCTTGTCATTCGACCCTCATGTAGCTCAACTTGTCAAAACCGGTTTCATGTCACTCCGCAACATTGGAAATATTCGCCAATATCTTACAGTTCAATCTGCCAAGATTATTGCACACTCTCCACTGGCATCCAGTCGAGTTCCGGCTCATGTTTATTCTCTTATGTCTTGTTTACTGCTGTTTCACTGGCACTGCACCTTCTTATCTATCTAATCTGCTAACTGTATGCACGCCTTCCCAATCTCTCCGCTCACTGGATAAGAAACTGCTTGTTGTCCCAAAAGTAAAGACAGTGCAGCTTTTAAACAGGTCCATTGTCCATGCAGGATCAGTGGCCTGGAACAGCCTCCCGCAAAGCCGCAGAGACTTGTGACTTTAGATCCAATCTAAAAACGCATATGTTCAAGATAGCCTTTCAACTGAGCTCCTTGCCTTAATGGCATTATATTTTGTGCGCTTTGAGCATGCTTATGCATGGGTATATGCGCGGTACAAATATGCTTATTATTAGTAGCAGTTATACTCAGCCTGTAGTCACATTTGTACAATCGACTCTGCTTTTAGCAGAGATTTCTTAAGGATGTTGAAAGGGTTTTGTCGCTTCTATCTATATACATGAACATGTACCTACGTTAGCAAACATTATACCAAAGGGACTTTATGTGACGGCTTAGATTTCCCTGATCCAAATGCTTTATTCCCGGACATATTTCACAATCACTGGATTGCATTTTAATTTTCGTCATTTGTTCGGGTTGTGTACTTTGGTTTATTTGTATGAAGACAATGTTTCTGGCAACCAGAAACTAAATCGGAAACAATAACATCTTTGTTTTTGACTAACGTAATTCCAAGTTTGGTATGGTCAGGTTTGTCAGGATATGTTGGTGGTAAATGTTTAAAGAAACGAGTATTCATCTGCTGTAGTTTGATGATGGCATGATTTCGTCTTCAGGAAAAATCAAATCAGAAGAGCCATCGCCAAATCCCATTATCATCGGCCTCATCGTAATTGTCATCATCGTCGGCATTGCTATCATGATCGGTTTCTGTTACTGGCTGAGGCGAAAAAATTGCAACCTCCAAACTTCAGCGGAAGTAAACTCAATGAATATTCCTTTATGGCATGTTGCTGGGTCCACCCCAACGTTTGCGGATGTTACAGATCCCCCATCGTACACAGAGGCCACAGGCAGTGGACTGGACCAACATGAACACACGGCATCTGAGAACGTAGCTACTGCTCAGGAAGTAACAGTTTTGTAACACTGAATACGGTTACAAGAAATTTGGCCATCCCTTTACTTCCTGAAACAGCCTTGCCAGTCATACGTCAGTCATACAGAAATATCGTTCCCCAGACCTCCTGCAATAGATTATATATTATGAAGGCAAATCATTTCTTATTTGTTTTTGTATTTTTGTTGTTGTTTTGTTTCGTTTTGTTTCGTTTTGTTTTGTTTGTTTTTTGTTTTGTTTGTTTTGTTTCGTTTGGGGTGGTGGTTGATTTTTTAATAGTATTTACCTGTTTTCTGCTTTTTGTCTGGCTACAAGCTAAGTGTGGCCTATATTTTCACTGAGTGTTTGCCTTAAGAGCTCTATATGCCCTGTTGCCAGAGATAATACTCAGTCCGCGGATCAAGTCATTCAAGAGTGTTATGGCCTAGTCACAGAACCATAAGTCTCTCCAGACACTTCCTCCCTCACTGAATCAGAATGAGATTACACTGCTCAAATATTTGTGTTCAAATAATAGTTACTGTATAAGAATATCAAACTCGATACCATTTCACATAACTTAAATGCTATACTTTATGGCAGTTCCAACAATCCCGAAATGTTCATAAAAAATCTTGGCATCTATTTATGGTAATATTATTCAGACAAAATTGATCATCAAATAGTTTATACAGCTCAGTATTCGCTACGGACACACCTCCATTATATTCAGTGTACAGCCCACATGGTAAAGTACCTCAAGGCTGTTTCATATTTAATTAACGTATTACTGGGGCAGTATTTCTCTTAATCTTACGACGTGTATACTTATCCAGTCCGTTCAAAAAATACTTACGCTTTCTCGGACATATGGATTGGATGAACAATCGGAAACTGTTTCATACCCTGGGTCTGAAATAATAAACATTGTCGTAAAACTGTAACATGATGTAGTAAACAGATGACCTATATTCAATACACGTGCACAAATAAGACTTAATTTGTAACATGCATGATATAAGCAATGTCTGCTGCTTTTCATAAAAAATACTCGACCCGTGAAGATCCGGGGTAGAATAGGTCTTCAGCAACCCATGCTTGCCACAAAAGGCGACTATGCTGTCGTAAGAGGCGACTAACGGGATCGAGAGGTTAGGCTCGCTGACTTGGTTGACACATGTCATCGGTTCCCAATCGAGCAGATAGATGCTCATGTTGTTCATCACTGGATTGTCTGGTCAAGACTCGATTATTTACAGACCGCCGCCATATAGCTGGAATATTGCTGAGTGCGGCGTAAAACTAAACTCACTCACTCACTCACTCATAAGAAATACTCATAAAACACTCAGCAGAAATTGGTGTACATGTATTTAAGTGGGAATTAAAATTCTGGGAAATAAAACATGGAAACTGACAATCTTCTGTTCTTTTTTCTTTCTTTGTGTGTGTGCGTACGTGCGTGCGTGCGTGCGTGCATGCGTGTGCGCGCTTTGGGTTTTTTCGTTATTTATTTGTTTAGAAATATATCGTGACACGGGCAAGCAGAGCAAATCCAGGCCTAATATTTTGAAGAGAGATCGTACATTAGCCACTTTAAATATCCCTTTTTATGTGTTTTCATTATGAATATTTCCGTAGGGTTTCACTTTGCAAAATGGGTGTCCGGGCACACTTACATCTAATTTGTTACAAGATGAACAAAAGCCCTGGATTGCCCTCCCACAACTTGGAGATGATAAATTATGTTACGGCCTCACCTCATGTCCAAGGAAGAAAATCCCAGTATGTAAGCATTCACTTTAACAACATGTCATGTATATAGACATCACTGTTGCCGTCGGCACATTTACTCCTCTGTACTGGCTTAAAGTACACATAACTGCAGTGTGTTTTTTGTTGCTTAAGGCCGAACTCAGCAATATTCCAGCTATATTGCAGGCGGTCTGTAAATATTCAAGTATTTTTTATTATTATATAATCAGTTTTACTTACACAGTATGTATATACAATTGAATGCACAGGGTTTCCATCCTCAACCAATGATCATGATTTGGGAAATGTAAAACCAGAAACCTTTTGCTTGGTACTTGTTACAGATATAAGGGAAGTAATAACGTTTGGGAACTAGTCCTGCCAATGTTCCATGGAATTACCATAGTTTGTCAAATTGCAAATAAAACTGTGACGTAATTTAAATGATTTCTGTTCTATATCTAATGATCCTGTTCGAGTCTCTGGAGAAGTCCTTCAATTAACATTCAGTTTGCAGTATTGTATAGAAATTCGATTAAGTGAATCCCATCAGCACGGATAGGGCAACTAAGAAGCTTTATGAGAGCGAGATGGGATTCGAACCCCAAAAATGTCATTCCATAAAATGCGGTTAGTGGGAGTCTTGACAAGTCTGACATATTCACATAAAGATGTATATAACCAGCTGATATACCCACATAAACTTGTCCCTCCTTGGATGACATGCAATCATAAACATTCCTTAACAAACTTTCGCATAGATACATGCGGTGAGGTGAGGTGAAAGTGGGTTTTACGTCGTGCTTGAGAATATTTCGCTCATATGACTACGCGCATGAGTGTGTATGTGTATGTGTATGTGCGCCTGCTTGTACTAGCCCAGACTTAGGCTGGTTTTATAGTGCTAGCCCACTGAGATACCCCACTCAGACACATTATACTGACTCCGAGCCGACCAGTCCTTGTTGTACCCATTATTGCCGAGCGCCAGGCAGGGACCAACAAGTACCATATTTTAACGTCTTTTGGTATGACGCGGTCGGGGATCGAACCCGCGACCTTCCGCTCTCCAGGCGGACGCTCTCACCACTACACCACGGAGGCGGGCGCATGGAAGCATGCACTGAGTAATATTAGTACTGTAATCACAAATATAACGTCCGTTGTCCGACTTCCATTTTTGTTGAAGCCGCGGTGTCTGAGTGGGTTTGACGGCGGACTTTGTGAGCTGGCGCTACGAAGTAATGAAATCACTGACATGTCATCATCGATGCATGTAGCTACACCACTGGGATGAAATATATTTGGAGAGTTTAATTAGGTTCCATGTGTATAAGTTTTTGTACATAGTAACTTGGAAAACCATTGAATTGTGAACAATATCGAAATAATAACGTACCACTATGATGTTACAACATATCATGGTTTACTGAATACCAACCTATTGCCACCATCAGTGCAGGTAATAAATATCAGTTTCATATATATATGTTACAGTCAATCTGTCAAACCAGTCATTTGGTCAAATGACTAAAACAATCAGTCATTTGACCAAATGACTAAAATTTTGACCAGTCATTTGACCAAATGAGTAAATTGTTTAAATTAAAAAATGAAACACACAAAAAATAATAAAGTGAACACTTTATTTATCCAGTTTCAACATAGAGCTTTGCGTGAGACTTGAATGACACCGGCTGTTGCACAGAAGATTGTTCTTATAGCATTTGCATTTCTTGGTTCCACATCTCTTGCTACCAGCACAGTTACACTTTACGAAACCCTGGCCTCCTGATAAAGACTCGGCTCCAACATCAGTACGAAAGGATACTGAAGTTTCTGTGTTGACTTCTAATAAAGTTAAGAGTTTCTCTGGGCACAAATCGGACTGGTTCCTCGAGAACTTGCCTTGGAGGACACCAGCAGGGCAGGCGACTGTATACTCTCCGTTGTCACTCACAGTGGTGATCACACCCAGAATGTTCCTCGCATATACCCGTGGAAAAATGTACACCTATGATTTTTAACCTCAATATAACGATAATATCCATATCACAATTGTGTTTGTGTTTCTATTTTGACCCCTCGGACGCATCACAAATTGATTGTAGATATGCACGATCTACGATCAAAGATGAGCGTCACTTTCAATATGTGTACCCGTCATGAATTCGAAGCAAAGTTGAAGCTTAAGTATACTGTTCTTACAGTTCCATAACTTCAAAAATCAATTGATTTCGTTGTTGATAAGCACATATGGGGCCTCCCAACTGAAAACTGCTCAAAGGTGGCAAGCTGTGGAGTGCCCGTAAGGGTTCTAGATATCTCTTTGATAACATTGTTGCTTGTGACGAATTTCCACCTGTGTGTAAAAATAGGTTGTAAACTTCAATGTGGTATTTCCTCCCTGGAAAGATATATTTCGTCATTATAGGTATTGAACCAAGAATGTAAAAGTATTAGAATTCCAATTTAAATTCTTAGATCGCATAATCTACACCAAGAAGGAACTAAAACATATGAAACTAGTGGATGAAGATGTTTCCTCCTTCTGTAAAACTGATAGTGAAAACTTATCACATGTTTTTCTTGAATGTGAGCATGTCAAAGAATTCTGGTTGAGTGTGGAATTATACTTGAACTCCTTTTTTAATGAAGAAATGAAGTGAAAACTTGTGCTATTCTTTTTGGTTTCCCAACTGAAAACTGCTCAAATGTGGCAAGTTGTGGAGTGCTGGCATGGCTGTTGATCACTGGATTGTCTGGTCCAGACTCGATTATTAACCGACCGCCGTCATATAGCTGGAATATTGTTGAATTCAGAGTTACGCAACACATCAACCAACCTCTCTCTTTTAAAAAAGGGTGGTGGGGTAGCCTAGTGGTTAAGGCGTTCGCTCGTCACGCCGAGGACACGGGTTCGATTCCCTTCATGGGCACAATGTGTGAAGCCCATTTCTGGTGTCCCCCGCCGTGATATTGCTGGAATATTGCTAAAAGCGGCGTAAACTAAACTCACTCACTCACTTTTAAAAAAACCCGTTTGAGTAGGGCAACACCTTCGGATCACGACTTCATCTTGATGACTTGATAAGGACATGATATACCCTAACGGACGTTTTCCTCTGAATTAACGGGGTTTTGTTACTCATTTATGGAGTCGTACTGGGGTCATGACCAATGGTTATAAAATGGGCTATTATGGAGTCGTACTGTATTTTGGGTGCCTTCGGCAAACTGTTCTACTTTGTATCTGCTATCTACCATTTATGGCAAGGGGGCTGATGATGATTTTTATGGAGAAGCATGTACAATGTGAATGACTCACCCACCCTAAACATTTATTTTAAAGCAAGTGACCCCCCTGCATGTCATGTACAAAAGAATTATATTTTAATATATTAATGTACAAAATTGCTGACCCCCCCTCTCTCTCTGTGAACCAAACACACACACACACACACACGCATGCACGCGCGCGCGCACGCACACGCGCGCACACACACACACACACACACACACACACACACACACACACAAGTTCAAGTGTACAAAATTCACCAAATCGCGCCTTAACAAGATTGACCCTTGAGCCACCGCCATCTGGGTATATGTTTTTGGTAAGTATACTAAACACCTTTATGAACAGAAGACTGTTCAAAAGGGCTTGACATGACCAGCCAGTTGATAGGCGGGTAGTAGAACCGGCCGAGGACACGGGTTCGATTCCCTTCATGGGCACAATGTGTGAAGCCCATTTCTGGTGTCCCCCGCCGTGATATTGCTGGAATATTGCTAAAAGCGGCGTAAACTAAACTCACTCACTCACTTTTAAAAAAACCCGTTTGAGTAGGGCAACACCTTCGGATCACGACTTCATCTTGATGACTTGATAAGGACATGATATACCCTAACGGACGTTTTCCTCTGAATTAACGGGGTTTTGTTACTCATTTATGGAGTCGTACTGTATTTTGGGTGCCTTCGGCAAACTGTTCTACTTTGTATCTACTGTAGGGACCGCCCATTTGTATCTGCTATCTAATTTATGGCAAGGGGGCTGATGATGATTTTTATGGAGAAGCATGTACAATGTGAATGACTCACCCACCCTAAACATTTATTTTAAAGCAAGTGACCCCCCTGCATGTCATGTACAAAAGAATTATATTTTAATATATTAATGTACAAAATTGCTGATGTACAAACACACACACACACACACACACTGAAACGCCCTCTCTCGCGCGCACCACACACCACACACACACACACACACACACACAAGTGTAAGTTTACAAAATTCACCAAATCGCGCCTTAACAAGATTGACCCTTGAACCACCGCCATCTGGGTATATGTTTTTGGTAAGTATACTAAACACCTTTATGAACAGAAGACTGTTCAAAGGGCTTGACATGACCAGCCAGTTGATAGGCGGGTAGTAGAACCGGACATGTTCTATGTGAAGTGCTGTATTGGGGTAAGGAACACTATTCCTGGAACCACTGACCACAACCACCAGAATCCCATCCACACACAAATCACCATAATGGTAAACAGGTTACCCACTTTTGTCGCCTCTTACAACCAGCAATTGGGTGCAGTGGGCATGTTCTCACCCAGGCTCACACGGAGGAAGGGCTATTACCCACGGCCAGCACTTCATCAAGGGTATGCTCTCCATGAGTGCCAGCTTGTCCAGGGAATAATGATTGTTATATATAACATAAATGTCTTTGAGTTTCAAATCCACATCTTATGTGTTATAAGTTTTATTTGAATACACAATTCTTTGATTTGCCAATATATTTAATTAGGTTCACGTTCGTTCTAAATTACAAGATGGTACAATTATGATCAAGGCGTTCACATGATATGAACGGCCATAAGCGTGGATAAGGCTATGACGGAAACCATAAACTTCATACATTGTCGGGGTGTTGCGGAATTATCGGACTCAGTTGTGTTTGATGGCGTAACTGGAGTAGACGGCGTCAAAGTTGTTGTCGTTGGACACGGCAGGTCAGATTCTGCAAATGGAAACGGTACGCAGAATAGATATTGTATTACGAATTGAAAACAATACTTATATACTCAACTAAACTTCACACTTGAAGTAGTGCAGGCGCGAAGCAAGCCAATTTTTTTGCTTTTTATTTAGATAGTATTGAGGGGTTGCCCAACCTTTTTAGCAGCAATCATGTGTAATCCCGGGCTTTTTAAAAAATGGTAGCTACGCCCTTGTAGTGTATGTATTATTATGGAAGTGGATCTAAATAATTCAGGTAACAATTCAGCCTATAAAAAGTGGAGATGAACCCCATTGCGAATTTCACACTAATACAACAGTAGAGGTCAATATGTGTGATTTCCTATCGTGGCCGTAAAGGCCACACGTCGTCTCCTCATGGACAGGAGAAATTGTCAGAACATCCTCACACGAGGTTGTTGCCTTTGATCAATGTGTGCTTGCCCAAGTCCTGGCAAGGTGTGGTATTGATTCATTTGGAGTCGATCTCGTCTTCCCATCTCATCACAAATGAGTTAAATCGGTTCACGACTGGGGAATGGGAAGGTCAGTCCATGACATCAACAACGGCGTTACGTAAGAGTGAGTGAGTTTATTTTTACGCCGCTTTTAGCAATATTCCAGCAGTATCATGTCGGGGGACACCAGAAATGGGCTTCACACATTATACCTATGTGGGCAATCGAACCCGTGTCTTCGGCGCGACGAAGCCACGCTAACGCTTTAACCACTAGGCTACCCCACCGCCCCGCGTTTCGTATGAAGCTGCGCGTCAGAATTGCAGTATGTGGCTGCATGAAAGGTCAGAATCTGGTCTCCAAACTGGATGGCAGTAAGATTCACGTAGATGACAACCAATTGATATCGACAATTGGCACAAAATGCTCCCTGAACCACTGTGCTGCCCACCTAAACATTGGTCAGACTTACGAATACGGTAATGTACGTGACGTTAACTCCTCCTTCGTCACAACCGGCAAACTGCAGTGTGAAGCGCGACTGAAGACAATCCTGTCCCACTGCCACTGGTTGAATCAGGCATATCTGCAGAGCCACCTTAAAGAGACGCACGATGAAATTTTGTCAGGATAGGTACTGTCTTTGGTTGTCTACCTCGGATATATGAGCTGCGCTGTCGATTCCTGAGGGTCTGTGCTGACGCTCTACCTCAGAGCAATTATCTTCCAGTGGTAGGGGCAGTTACAAATCTGTTGCGCAGACTTGAACTGATTTGTACGTCATCTTCGTTCATCACTGATCATACTATCAAAAATATTCTATTCACCAAAAGAAGGGGATATTAGATATAAAGGTGTCACAACTTTTGATAATCATATCTTTAATGAGGTAAGCAGTTTGGCAGTTCAACGGGGACATCTGACCGATATTTGCATGTGAACGTTAGATGACAATAGGTTTTGTTAGATGAATGGACAAAGCGTCATACTATCCATCACGTCATTTACCATGAACAGTGTCAATCCGCCTCTAATATCACGTGAATCCGCCTCTGTCATCACGACAGTTCCGGTTTAGATGAGGCATACTGCTAACCAAGCCTCCTTCAGGGCAGCGCCAAGTTCGTTGAGAGTGGTCATACGGACTGTCCAACCAAGATGTCCTCCTGTTCGTTGATAGTGGTCAGACTGTTCAGGACTGTTCGACGCACTGTCATCCAGTACCGATGTCCAGGGATATCGGTATCCCAGACATGTTCGTTGATAGTGGTCAGACTGTTCGACGGACTGTCTGACGCACTGTCCAGGGATATCGGTATCCCAGACATGTTCGTTGATAGTGGTCAGACTGTTCGACGGACTGTCTGACGCACTGTCTAGGGATATCGGTACCCCATACATGTTCGTTGATAGTGGTCAGACTGTTCGACGGACTGTCTGACGCACTGTCTAGGGATATCGGTACCCCATACATGTTCGTTGATAGTGGTCAGACTGTTCGACGGACTGTCTGACGCACTGTCTAGGGATATCGGTACCCCAGACATGTTCGTTGATAGTGGTCAGACTGTTCGACGGACTGTCTGACGCACTGTCTAGGGATATCGGTACCCCAGACATGTTCGTTGATAGTGGTCAGACTGTTCGACGGACTGTCTGACGCACTGTCCAGGATATCGGTATCGGACTGTCTGACGCACTGTCCAGGGATATCGGTATCCCAGACATGTTCGTTGATAGTGGTCAGACTGTTCGACGGACTGTCTGACGCACTGTCCAGGGATATCGGTATCCCAGACATGTTCGTTGATAGTGGTCAGACTGTTCGACGGACTGTCTGACGCACTGTCTAGGGATATCGGTACCCCAGACATGTTCGATAACTGTCTGGACTGAGTGCTGGTCATGGTTAGGTGGTTATGTTCTCCTGTTGGAGGTACTCAGTAATGACACATGTACGTGTCCTCTTTGTTGTCATCAGGAAACAAAAACCGACGTCCACATCGGCAAGCAAATGACACCATGTGTTCCTCCAGGAATGTTGTTCATGGTACTACTAACCAGTGACACGTCCAATAATAGTATGTAAAGATGCTCTGCTGGTCACAGTGTTCCGACCCCATACCATTACAGAGAGGCCCCAAAACGCTCGCTCTGACCAACCGTAACAGCATGAAAACACTAATTCACGCCATTATAACTCAAACGGCTTTTTATATTCCTAATTTCCATTAATTCGGGGTTTCAGATTTAGTCATGGAATAAAGTGTTAATTGATGAACTGTATATACAAAAACAGTATATATGTACTGTCAATAAGGATACGTTGGTGACTTCCCCCATTTAAATTTCAAGACTCCTGAGGGGGGAGGTTGCAAACCTACTTACACCACTTGTGCTAAGATGTGTTGGTGGTATTTGTAAAGCCGTCCTCATACACCAACTACAGTACGGCAGAGAACAGACAATCCATTGATTGATATCATGAACATCAACAAACAATGGTCACTGAAAACACATTGCGACGGAAGCGATGCTAATATGAAACAAATGTGATTGTCCTCTTTTCTATCGAATCGTAAAACCTCGTCACGTTCATGCAGAGTGTACAGCATGATCAGCCCGCTGAAACAAAAGACATAACACACCCTATCGGTGTCACGTGACTTACCAAAGCAGTATCTGGATGGACAGGTGGTGGGTGGAACAAGATAATAGACGTAGTAGATGCTGCAGTTTATGACTTGAATGGTGTGTTCGAATTCACAGCAGCCGTCGTGAGTACTTGTACAGACAGTAATGTTTATAATTCCGTCGTCTTGACTGGGATGGGAACCTGTTTCGAATAAATCAATAATTATCTAAACTATCACAAATGAAGGTATTGCAAAATCCCAGTTTGTACTTGGGCAGAGATCCATTATAAATGCTACAATATCCCACATGTATGTACATAGAAAATAGAAATTCAAAATATATTTGTTTAAATGAAGCAAAACATTGCTGAGAGCCGGGAACGTTTTGCCTGAACATGTGTAGCCTACACTCTCCTTCAGAATGATTAACAATAACCGATAAAATCGGGTTAGGATACAGATGTGAGTGAGTGAGTTTAGTTTTACGCCGCTTTTAGCAGTATTTCAGCAATATCACAGCGGGGGATACCAGAAATGGGCTTCACACATTTTACCCATGTGGGGGATTGAACCCGTGTCTTCGGCGTGACGAGCGAACGCTTTAACCACTAGCCTACCAGACAGCCCCTGTATACAAATGTACATACAGAAAATATACTTTACATAAAAGTTTAGATTCACTGAAAATACTCACTATATGTGTATATATATATATATATATATATATATATATATATATATATATATATATATATATATATATATATGGTTACATCGATGGATTACATCGATTGATTTCTCCACTAACTTGGGGGAACCAACTGCTAACCTTATGTAGATGAATTGCACGAAGATCATGCTTCAAATTGCTGCAAAGCATGTGCAAACATCGTGCATGTGAACAGCTGCGTTTTGGTGTAAAGTTTTGTTAAGAATTCGCCAATTTTCACTGAGTTTTATCATTTCTTGAACTCATGACAATAATCTCTTCAACTGTACAAAAATGTTTGCAATACATCAGTCCCAAACAGTACCTTTAAACAGCATGGAATAGTTTGCAAAAGTTAGTTTAGAAGAGTTGCCTGAAGTAAGTGTCTATATTTACACTAGTGAGTCTAAACTTTTGATGGGAACTATATGTGAATTGAGATCGTGATATTACCGTTCAGCCATAAGGGATAGCGTGCTCCGCAACTAGACGTTGGCACACACTGCGTAGACATTGCATGGAAATTGCCTTTGCCATCCCGGGGACGAAACCAGTTTTCTATAATGAACAGGTCACATTTGTCATCGTTTGTGTCATACGGGCACTGTGGGTTCCTGTCCCCAGAGAGTGTCAGATTCTTGTAGTCAGTGCATGGGTCCTTATTTTTCACCACGACTGAAATTTGGAAAGAAAAAGAATTGCATTGAAAACTTTCAGCGTAAACAAAATATGATTTGATCTAGTTTTCAATCTTGCTTGTAATGTCAGATCATACTATCGCGCCTAGTAAGTTAATAACAAATGACAAAGGTAACTGAAATACTTTAATAAAAGCCACGTTACAATATTCAGTCATGGCTGACATGCCAGAACACACATCTAGCAGGAGAAAATGGTCTCACCAAAACACAGCCACAGAAAAACAAGCGAACAGAAGTTTCCGCCATGTTTTAGTTTCACTTTTGAAAATACTGGCTGATAAATACTCGCCGACGTTATCAGTCATGTGATTTATACAACGTTCTAAACGTTGTGCAGTACAAAGCAAACTGATTAAGAGGCTTTTATGATGGCCATACACGTGGTATTTTCTATATTCAGCTTTACGACCATTGTGACGATTGAATTAAGGATTGGCCCACTTGAGATTTTTCATTCAATTGCCCTGTTATATATAAACTAGTCAGATTACCTGACAGATGTTAAGTAGTCGAGGCAAAATCTGACGTTTTGCAGATTGTTATTGTCTGTGCCACCGGTTGAAGTATTTTATTAGGTCAAAATCCTGTTCGTGAAAACACTCCACAAAATATATTGTTGTTTTGTTTAGTGACCACGTCATGCGTTGTCAATACAAACATAGCTATATCAGTAATCGTGTTTCATGACAGGCAGTTAACCTGGACAATCAGTGGCCAAAGTCAAAACACATAACGCTCTGCAAGAGAAGGACACACTTAACTCAAGTTTGGAGGAGCAAAGGAGGTTGAAGATGAAGGTGTCTTGGCCGCTCCTGTTTCTAGCTACACTGTCGCTGCAAGCAAATGGTATATACAGATGGAAACCTAATACATTTCTTTCTTATCACAATTTGCTAAATATATATATATCGTGTGATGATGCTTATTCATTTTTATCTAGGGTTTGATAAGTCATTCTATCATACCTTACTACCGATTTCAAATGAAACGCTAAAATGCATCATTATATTTTCTTGACATCACCGAATAATGGTTTAAATTAATAATTTCTAGTATAACTATTCAGACGAATACTATTTTCTGTGCCTGGTTTCTTCATTAATCATGAGTGTACGTGAACATATGTTTTAGGTGAAGACAACCCCTGCCAGGAATACGTATCATTCCCGGACTTGGAGAAGAGGGACGTCAATTATGAATTGTCAGTAGGAGAAAAACCCCTGAGTGATTTTCTTATTACCAGCTCCGGTATTTGGTTCGGTACGGACGGTTATGACATCGCCACTACTGCCCCTCCACAGAAAAGATGCGGTACTGTTTATCCAGTCTGGATAAGAGGTAATACCTTTACCCCTTGGTGAATGGTATACACATGTGTGATAACTTGAAGTTTGTCTCTGCACATAGAATTTTCGTGAACATCTCCATGTTTAAAGTGAAACCATAGTTTCTGTTTTACCTTGCACGTATGCTGTGGTGTCGATATTACATACGTCTTGCTGAATTGTGAAACCATTTCAGACCCGTTGCCAGAGAAGGGCGAGGAGACCACAGTTAGGGCATGTGTACGTATAGACGCAAACACTTGCCAGGTGAGCGTGAACATTCTTGTTCGGGACTGTGGGAATCTCCGTATCTACCAGCTAAAGAGTACCCTTGTTGAGCAGTCTGCCTACTGTGTAGGTAAGTGTGAATATTTTACAGTTTGTTCCCACTCTGTGTCTCTGTCGTACTCCACCTCCTTTTGTATTATTTGATATTCATATTATTCTATATTATTACTAAATAGCATATTAAGCAAAGCTTTATTTGTAACAAACCAGTTTCTGATGGAGTATACATCCTAAATTTCAGGTTTTGCAGACCCGACAAAACGTAAGTGATCTCATTTGTTTTGGGTTTTTTGCAATCCGTTACCCGTATATTATTGCC